AGTTGACCTATTGATCTACTAACATTTGCATGTTTTCGAACTGCTAGGTTGGCAGAAGCTGGTGCTAACAGCCGGAGCTCACCCTGCTCCCCGGATTCGAACCGCCAACCTTTTGTTCAGCCAGTTGACCTATTGATCTACTAACATTTGCATGTTTTCGAACTGCTAGGTAGGCAGAAGCTGGTGCTAACAGCGGGAGCTCACCCTGCTCCCCAGATTTGAACCGCCAACCTTTTGGTCAGCCAGTTGACCTATTGATCTACTAACATTTGCATGTTTTCGAACTGCTAGGTTGGCAGAAGCTGGTGCTAACAGTGGGAGCTCACCCTGCTCCCCAGATTCGAACGGCCAACCTTTTGGTCAGCCAGTTGATCTATAGATCTACTAACATTTGCATGTTTTCGAACTGCTAGGTTGGCAGAAGCTGGTGCTAACAGTGGGAGCTCACCCTGCTCCCCAGATTCGAACGGCCAACCTTTTGGTCAGCCAGTTGACCTATTGATCTACTAACATTTGCATGTTTTCGAACTGCTAGGTTGGCAGACGCTGGTGCTAACAGCGGGAGCTCACCCTGCTCCCCAGATTCGAACGGCCAACCTTTTGTTCAGCCAGTTGACCTATTGATCTACTAACATTTGCATGTTTTCGAACTGCTAGGTTGGCAGAAGCTGGTGCTAACAGCGGGAGCTCACCCTGGTCCCCAGATTCAAACCGCCAACCTTTTGGTCAGCCAGTTCAGCAGCTCAGCGTTTTAAGCCTATATGCCACCGTATAAATAAAATGCATTGTTGTTGTTGTTGTTGTTGTTGTTGTTGTTGTTGTGAAGCTATAACACTTATGATTCCATAGCATTCAGGCACTGCACTTCCTAGTGGTGCCAAACTGCATTCATTCCACAGTGTAGATGTACCTTGGGACAGACAGAGAAAAAACACACAAACAATGCTCCTGGATGAGGAGGCTCCACCCAGCATGCAAGTCACAAGGTTCACACCCGTGTGGGTTGTGAAGAAGCGATGTTGTTGTTACCTTTTCCAAATATCTGCCGGCACCACTGATCCGAGCTCTGACACACTCCAGTCATGCAAACCCCTTTGTCCTCGTCGCACGTCTGTCCGTCCTCCACATAGAAATCGGCTGTACATAAGGGCGAGGTACCGTTGCAGTATTCCTTCAAATCACAGTCGGCATCCACAGTATCTCTGCACACAGTGCCTTTGGCTTTCACCTGACCCACAAGTGTCATGATAAAATATAAAACAGATTTTGTTAAAATTCAATATGAACATGGAGAATTCCAGAGGATTGCAAATCAAGAAAGTTCTTTGACTGAATACCATTGGTGGGATATTTTCAAGGGATATTCACCAAAAGCTTCAACCTTTTTGCATTTAATGATTCACCCAATTGTAGTGATTATAATGCCGTTAATTGTAATGGTTTTATGGACATGTATTTTGTTTAAGAAACTGAGATCTGTACAACTAAAATTAGAAGCTACTTTACAGTATCTGCATGTTGATTTATAAATGGAATTATAAATCAAGAGGGGGAATGTGTCATGATAAAATATGCTGTATGGTTTGAGTGAGATTGTATGAAAGGCGTATGAATGTGGCCCAACTGGGCTGAAGATACCATTCTAAGGAATGAGGCCTGGAAAACTACAAGACAGAGGCAAAGGACTTGTGGACTAATTAAAAATTGCTGATGAGATTTGAGAACTGTTGACATTCTGACTTGATTAACTCTTGGTGGAAAAACAACTTGTTTACATTGCCAAAGACAATGGTTCTTTTAAGTAAGGAAGTCAACACTGTGGCTCCTTACAGAAGTGTTTACAAGGCTCCTGGATGAGGAAAGCCAATCAATCAGAATCAACATCTGTCCAAGAACTGATGGAATCTGTCTGTCAGTAATCTACAACTTTCAGAACCACATCAACAGGAAAAACTACATAAAAGGACCCTTCTCTCTCAGAGAGTGTGTGTCAGATCAACTGAACACCATTTCTGAACGCCATCGTGAACAGCCGCCTTCTCCTCTCAAGAAGCTGATCATCTTCAGCAAGAAGAATGGTAAGACTGTATTGTCGAAGGCTTTCATGGCTGGAATCACTAGGTTCTTGTGGAATGTTAGAGTATATGTGTAAATGTTAATGCAATATTCCCCTTTGTCTATGTAACCAATATAATTATTATAAAACCTAGTACTGGAGTCTGTGTCTATTTTTTTCTCTCTGAAAGTGCCTAATGCAACCTGTCTCACTAAAAGCGGAATAAAAGAACCTATTTAACATTTTTAAAAGTATTTATGACAGTAGCAGCCAATAGTGAAAGGACCAAGGCAGAGACATCTCCAGCTCACCCCGTTTGGGTATCAGCCAGCACGTCAACGACTTAAATCAAGAAATAGTTTTCTAAGATCTACAGAGACACTCGCTGGAACACCTCAGCAAGCAAGAGTCCAAAAGTGGCAGGCTCAAACCCAGAACCTCAATCAATGGCTGATACCAAATGAGAGACTCCCCCCTGGGCACACAGAGGACTGGACGACTTGGGACCACAAGATGCAGAGCCAACCTTCAGAAATGGGGCCACAAAGTGGAATCCTCGACATGCGAGTGTGGAGAGGAGCAAACCACTGACCACCTGCTGCAATGCACCCTGAGCCCTTCCACATGATGCACAAGGGAGGACCTTCTTGCGGCAACACCAGAGGCACTCCAAGGGGCCAGAGACTGGTCAAAGGACATTTAACCAAATACCAAATTTGCAAAATCTGTGTTTTTTTTCCTTTTTCTTTTTAATCTGTGTGTTTGTTTTGCTCTGTTAGAATTGTAATACAATGGTTGCTGATGACGATAAATAAATAAATAAATACCCTGAGCCCTTCTGCCACATGATGCACCAGGGAGGACACCAGAGGCAGCACTCCAAGGGGCCAGAGACTGGCCAACGGACATCTAATCCACTACCAAGCTTGCAAAGCCTGTGTTGTTGTTTTTTCAATCTGTTTGTTTTGTCCTGTGAGAAATGCAACCCAATGTTCTGGTTGCTGATGACACCATAGATAGATAGATAGATAAATAAAATGTGTAAACCCCGTCCTAATTCTGTGAGAGTGCTGGCCGCCTGAGGCCCGCATCAGAACAAGGACACCAAGATGTCTGCCTCCCTCCCTCCCTCCCTCGCTCGCTCTCCTTCCTCGAGGCTTCCCAAAGAAGAAGGAGGAGGAGGAGCCTTCCTTCGGCGTCTTTTCCCGCCCAGCTGGCCTCCGCCTTCCCATTGGCTGCCCGCCTTCGTGCCCGCCTTCCATCCGCGTGGCAGGCCTCGATTGGTGGGATGGCAAGGAGGGGGCGGGCCTCTGCGTTCCGACGTCACCGCAAGCCCCGCCCCTCTGTTGTGGGCGGAGGAAGGAATGAAGGTAAGCAGGCGCCGGGGAGGAGGGGGAGGGGCCAGGGGAGGCCCCGCCCCCTTTCCCGTGTTGACAGGCCGGCTTGGCCTTCGGAGCCGGAAGTGCCCCTCCTTCCGGTTGTCGGTGCTCCTCGGCGGACCAAGCAAGCCGCGGCCTTCCTCTCTCTCTCTCTCTCTCTCCTCCTCCTCCTGCAGGCGCATCCACACAACTCTTATCCTGCACTTGCGGGTGAGGTACAAGCTCGCGGTCCCTTATGGATAGGCCCAGAGAGGCTAGTAGAGGGTGAAACATCGATCTTCAGAGCGCTATATCCCGTTCCTGCCCCCCTCCCTCCTCCCTGCGGGGTGTGGGACTAACTAACTCCCAGAATCCCTCGCAGCCTCCCTACATGCGATGGCTCAGAGACACGACGCACTCTCCTATCATGTTAACCCCTGTCCACCAGCAATGACGTCTCAGGCCCCTTTCCCCCTCAGCTGCTCAGCAGAGAAGCAGAGGCATTCTGGGAGTTGCAGTCCACAACACACCCCGAGGGAGGGAGGGAGGGAGGGAGGAGGCCTCTGGGCCTGGCTTGGAAAAGCGTGCCTCTGGCTTTGAACCCGGTGGTTGTCTCCTGTCGGCGCCGCGGAGCGTGTCTGCTGCCGGTTGCCACTGCTCTACAGAAGCTGATTGGCCTGTCATAGAACCATAGAATCCTAGGATAGTTGGAAGAGACCTCCTGGGCCATCATCCAGTCCAACCCCATTCTGCCAAGAAGCAGGAATATTGCATTCAAATCACCCCTGACAGATGGCCATCCAGCCTCTGTTGCAAAGCTTCCAAAGAAGGAGCCTCCACCACACTCCGGGGCAGAGAGTTCCACTGCTGAACGGCTCTCACAGTCAGGAAGTTCTTCCTCATGTTCAGATGGAATCTCCTCTCTTGTAGTTTGAAGCCATTGCTTCATTATGTCCTAGTCTCCAGGGCAGCAGAAAAACAAGCTTGCTCCCTCCTCCCTGTGACTTCCTCTCACATATTTATACATGGCTATCATGTCTCTTCTCAGCCTTCTCTTCTTCAGGCTAAACATGCCCAGCTCTTTAAGCCGCTCCTCATAGGGCTTGTTCTCCATTATTACCTATTTTGATAAATATATCATTCCAAAAACTCTACCTTTGGTCTTTTTTGTCAGCTCCTCCATTCATATAATATTGGCACAAACCCAGACCACAATTGAAGCCTCAAAATTTTAGAACATGAATTCAGGATACACAGTGAGTTAGTAGCAGATTTGTAATTCATGTTCTTGTCAATAGCTCTCTTGAATTGTGGTGCCCAGAATTGGACACAATATTCCAGATGTGGTCTAACCAAAGCAGAATAGAGGGGTAGCATTACTTCCTTAGATGTAGACACTATGCTCCTATTGATGCAGGCCAAAATCCCATTGGCTTTTTTTGCCGCCACATCACATTGTTGGCTCATGTTTAACTTGTTGTCCACGAGGACTCCAAGATCTTTTTCACACGTCCTGCTCTCGAGCCAGGCATTGTCCCCCATTCTGTATCTTTGCATTTCGTTTTTCCTGCCAAAGTGGAGTATCTTGCATTTGTCACTGTTGAACTTCATTTTGTTAGTTTTGGCCCTGTCGCGGTTCGACCCTTGCGCCTGTTTGTGGCCGGGAGGAGTCCCCACGGGGAGGGGAGGGGAGCAGAGGAGGAGGGACAGTCCACGTCTCACAGGCGTATCGCAGAGTTGGGCGGACAATAGCTTTGTAACAAGCACCTTGGTATCCCTACGGATGGCCATCTGTCAGGAGTGCTTTGAATGCAATTTAAGCAGGGTCAGGCCTTGTTTGGACTTGGAGGGGAGGCCACCAATTAATCCCAGGTGCTATTTCAGAGGCAAAATGTCTTCGGAGTATCACTTGCCTAACAAAGGCGCATGAACTGCATGTTGTTGTCATAAGGTTTATTTGTCGTGTCATCAGCAACCATACCATTGTGTTACAATTCTAACAGAGCAAAACAAACACACAGATTAAAAAAAAACACACACACAGATTTTGCAAACTCGGTAATTGGTTAAATGTCCTTTGCCCAGTCTCTGGCCCCTTGGAGTGCCTCTGGTGTTGCCGCAAGAAGGTCCTCCCTTGTGCATGTGGCAGGGCTCAGGTTGCATTGCAGCAGGTGGTCAGTGGTTTGCTCTTCTCCACACTCGCATGTCGAGGATTCCACTTTGTAGCCCCATTTCTTAAGGTTGGCTCTGCATCTGGTGGTGCCAGAGCGCAGTCTGTTCAGCGCCTTCCAAGTCGCCCAGTCTTCTTTGTGCCCAGGATGGAGAGAGTCTCTCATCTGGTACCACCCATAGATTGAGGTGCTGGGTTTGAGCTTGCCACTTTTGGACTCTCGCTTGCTGGGCTGTTCCAGCGAGTGTCTCTGTAGATCTTAGAAAACTATTTCTTGATTTAAGTCGTTGACGTGCTGGCTGATACCCAAACGGGATGGGCTGGAGATGTCTCTGCCTTGGTCCTTTCACTATTGGCTGTTACTTCCCGGCGGATGTCAAGTGGACAAACTAACAAACAAAGCACCCAAATCGCCACCTTTAATCCCCCACCCACCCCTACACCATGTTCGGGGTGAGTGACCACCCTCCCACCCCCACCCCCAACCTATGATCTAAAACCGACTTCCTCTCGTCTCATCCACTTCCTATTATATTTCTTCGTTCTGTATTTCTATTACGTTTCTTCTCTCCTCATTTTCTACATTAATGTTATTCTCACTCAGTATATTTCATTTTCTATATAACTTTTAAGCAAGCTCCAGTCTGTCATAACAGTTCCTT